CCCCGCCCTTTGTTATTCTGCATGCTCCCCGACTTCCCTGATCACCTCAACTCCCCTGGGCATCGTTTCTGGATGGTCAACAATTGCCTCAAGGTTGCCGGCTCCCGCGAACGACTCGCTGCCTACTTCCACCAAGACGGTGGTGCAGCACCAGCGTGGGAGCGCGCGGTGAAGGCCTGGGCTGGATGCTAAAGGCATTATGGTTACATTGCATGCGCAATTGTTTTGCGTTTCAGACCTGCTCACGGACTTGACATGCCGCGATTGTGCTCTCTAGCGGTGTGGATCGAGTCCTCCTTTGTATCCGAGTCCTGACAGAACTGATCTGGATCTTAAGCTCGAGCTGCCTGAGCACACAGCAGCTGGCCCAGAGCTATGTAATTGACAGGGGGGCATGCCAGGAGGACGCGCCGCGGAACGTCCCAAGGGACGCGCCAAGCGACGTGCCAAGGGGCGTGCCATGAGGACGCACCGCGGGACGTGCCAAGGGGACGCGCTACGGAACGTGCCAATGAACGTGCCACGGGACGTGCCAAGGGACGCGCCGCGCGACGTGCCAAGGGGACTCGCCACGGGACGCGCCACGGAACGTGCCAGCAAGGAACGTGCCCATTTGCAATGTTGAGTGTATCGATATCGATGTACCGTGCCGAAGGCTGTGCTGCGCTGCGCCGTGCTGAATTTCGATGTGCCATGCCGCGATTGTGCTCTAGCGTTGTGGATCGAGCCCTCCTTTGCATCCGAGTCCTGACAGAACTGATCTGGATCTTAAGCTCGAGCTGCCTGAGCACGCAGTAGCTGCCCCAGAGCCAATTGACAAAAGGGCATGCCAGGAGGACGCGCCGCGGAACGTCCCAAGGGACGCGCCAAGCGACGTGCCAAGGGACGTGCCATGGGGACGCACCGCGGTACGTGCCACGGAACGTGCCAGGGAATTACATTGCGTCCGCTCTCGCGTGAATTACATTGCGTCCGCTCTCCCTGGGCCAGGATCCCTCGTAAACTACGCTGCGTCCGCACTACCAAGGCCGCGCTCCTTTGTAAATTACGCTATGTCCGCGCTCCCGGGGCCACGTTTCCTTGTAAATCCGGCGTCCGCCCCCATAGAACCAAAATCCATAGTAAATTACGCTGCAACCGCGCTCCCAGGGCCACGATCCACGTGAATTACGCTGTGTCCGCCCCCCACAGGGCCACGATCCATCGTAAATGGCTGCGTCCGCGCTCCCAGGGCCACGACTTATTTCAAATCACGCTGCGTCCGCGCTCCCAAGGCCACGATCCCTCGTAAATCATGCTGCGTCCGCGCTCCAGGGCCACGATCCCTCATAATTGAATTACGCTGCGTCCGCTCTCCCTGTGCCACGGCCCCTCGCAAAACTACGCTGCGTCCACGCTCCCAGGGCTGCGCTCCCTCGTGAATTACGCTGCGTCCGCGCTCCCAGGGCCACCCTCCTTTGTAAATTGTAAATTACGCTGCGTTCGGGCTCCCAGAACCACCTGAGTATCCTGGGGCGCCTGGGCCGCTCGAGTTCTGCAAAACAAGCGTTTCGCTCGAGACATCCTCGAAGCGTCTCGCTCGAGACATCCTCAAGACCTGGGCACGTGAAAACAATGGTTTCACCTAAAATTGTATCTGAATTCTGGTCCCCAGGAGAGGAACGATCTATAGCACAAAACAAATGTTTCGCTCGGGAGATCACCAACAAATTCTGCAAAACGAGCGTTTCGCTCGAGACATTCGCAACGAACGAAAATGCTTACTTTACCTCGTATCTTATCGATCGGAATTTCAAACACGATCGACCCACGAAGCCGGAAAGGAATAGAGTCATGCAACGCATGGCAACGTCTTCAAAGACACCTGATTGGGCGACGGGCAAATGTAATGCTGGGTGTATCGATCTTGCTGTACCCTGCCGAGGGCTGTGCTGAGCTGCGCCATGCTACATTTCGATGTGCCATGCCGCGATTGTGCTCTATAGCGTTGTGGATCGAGTCCTCCTGTGCATCCGAGTCGTGACTGAACTGATCTGGATCTTAAGCTCGAGCTGCCTGAGCACATAGTAGCTGCCCCAGAGCCAATTGACAAAGGGGCATGCCAAGAGGACGCGCCGCGGAACGTCCCAAGGGACGCGCCAAGCGACGTGCCAAGGGGCGTGCCATGGGGACGCACCGCGGGACGTGCCAAGGGGACGCGCTGCGGAACGTGCCAATGGAAATGCCACGGGGCGTGACAGGGGACGCACCGCGCGACGTGCCAAGGGGACTCGCCACGGGACGCGCCACGGAACGTGCCAAGAAACATGCCAGGTTGCAATGCTGAGTGTATCGATCTTGATGTACCGTTCCGAGGGCTGTGCTGCGCTGCGCCGTGCTGAATTGCGATGTGCCATGCCGCATTGTGCTCTATAGCGTTGTGGATCGGGTCCTCCTTTGCATTCGAGTCGTGACCGAACTGATCTGGATCTCAAGCTCGAGCTGCCTGAGCACATCGTAGCTGCCCCAGAGCCAATTAACAAGGGGGCATGCCAGGAGGACGCGCCGCGGAACGTCCCAAGGGACGCGCCAAGCGACGTGCCAGGAGACGTGCCATGGGACGTGCCATGGGACGTACCGCGGGACGTGCCAAGGGGACGCGCTACGGAACGTGCTTGGGACACGCGTTTCGCTCGAGAAATCCCGCCAAAATCCTCATGTTAGACATCCGCCTGACATGAAAACAAGCGTTTCGCTCAACACATCCTCAACACATTCTCATGCTAGGCATCCGCCTGGGCGAACTGGACACGTGAAAACAAGTGGCTCGCTCGAGACATCCTCAATACATCTGCCTGTGAGACGTCCGCCTGGGTGAGCTGGGCACGTGAAAACAAGCGTTTCGCTCGAGACGTTTTCAACACCTCCTCATTCTAGACATCCGCCTGGGCGACCTGTACACGTGAAAGCAAACGTCTCGCTCGATACATCCTCAACACATCTTCATGTTAGACATCCGCCTGGGCGACCTGGACACGTGAAAACAAGCGTATCTCTCGAGACACTCTCAACACATCCTCATGCTGGGCATCCGCCTGGGCAACCTGGACACGTGCAAGCAAGCATCTCGATCGAGACTTCCTCAACGCATCCTCATGCTAGACATCCGCCTGGGCAACGAGGACGCGTGAAACCAAGCGTCTCGCTCGAGACATCCTCAACAAATCCTGCCGCTAGACCTCTGCCTGAGCAACCTGGAGGCGTGAAACCAAGCGTCTCGCTCGTGACATCCTCAAGACCTGGGCACGTGAAAACAAGCATTTCACTTGAGAGATCCTTTGAATTCTGGCCCCCAGGAGACGACAATCTCTAACACAAAACACGCGATTCGCTCGAGACTTCCTCAACAAATTCGGAAAAACAAGCGTTTCGCTAGGGACATCCTCAAATCTTAATTCGCCGGCCCGCCTCGACCTCGATATTTATCGCAAGAGAAATTCGCTGGCCCACCTCAAGTCAAACCCGGGGGTAAACCCACTAAAAGAGAATCCTGGGCCTCAGCCCTTTCGGGGAAAACCAGTGTTTCGCTGGTAAAACGATAAAAAATAATTCCGCCAGCCCGTCTCGACCTTGACATCTATCGCAAATGATTCCGCCGGCCCGTCTCAAGTCAACCCCAAGGGTAAAACCTCCCCAAGAGAACCCTGGGCCCCCGCCCTTCCGGGGAAAAAATCGCACCACAATGCAAGACGCAACAAACATGTCACGAATTTTGTTGTCGGCGAGCTGGCCAGCGCGGGAGTCGGTGAGCTGGTCGTCGCGGGAGTCCTCGACACAAAGCCTGGAGAAAATAAATCGCACCACAATGCAAGACGCAAAGAACATGTCACGAATTTCGTTGCTGTGCTGGTGTCGTGGCTGGCGCGAGTCGGCGAGCTGGCCGGCGCGGGAGTCGGCAAGATGGTCGGTGCGGGAGCCGCCAAGCTGGCCGGTGAGGGAGTCGGCGAGCTGGTCGGTGCGGGAATCCTCGACACTGCCTCGGATAAAAAAATCGCACCGCCATGCAAGACGTAACGAGCATGTCACGCATTTCGTTGCTGTGCTGGTGTAGTGGCTGGCGCGGGAGTCGGCGAGCTGGCTGGCGCGGGAGTCGGCGAGCTGGTCGGTGCGGGAGCCCTCGACACAAAGCCTGGAGAAAATAAATCGCACCACAATGCAAGACGCAACGAGCATGTCACGAATTTCGCTGCTGTGATGGTGTGGTGGCCGGCGCGGGAGTCGGCGAGCTGGCTGGCGCGGGAGTCGGTGAGCTTGTCGGTGCTGGAGCACCCAGGCTGGTCGATGTGGGAGACGACGAGGGAGCAGGAGGGAGGATGAGCAGTACACCCGACTAAGGGGGCGAGGCGGGGTAAAGGGGAAGGATGCCACGGATGGAGGGGAGACTTATCCTCCGCCTTAAGATTCTGGAGCGGATCCAGCCGTGGCCACGAAACAAGGTCCCCCGAAGACCCAGGCGAGGAATAGGATGAGGAAGACATCCGTGGCAGGGCTTCTTCGGCCTGCGCACGGGCAACCCCCAGAGGCCGCCAAAGCTGTCCTCCTGGACACGCTATAGCCGTCCCAACACACAAATGCCAGGGCGCCCTGTGCCCCAGCGGTGCCGCCGTAAGCTGCGCGAGGGCTTTGAGACCACCTCGCGCTGCGCCCGGCGCCTGTTAAGGAGGCTGGAGTACCTGGGGAAACATGACTGGGCACAAACTGAAGCCTTGCCACACACACTCCTCTTCCTCCTCTTCCTTCTCTTCCTCCTCCTCCTCCTCCTCTTCCTCCTTTTCCTTTTCCTCCTCCTCCTCCTCCTCCTCCTCCCCCTCCTCCTCCTCCCACACCTTCCTTCCTCGACGACAACGAATACTACGTTTACGAATTCGCCAGCGTCGACGCCGACGACTACGACCACGCCGAAGACGCCGACGCTGAAGACAACGACGGCCCGCCGATGGGCGCTACAAGGGGGTCGTGGCCTGGGCACATCAGGCGGACGCGTTCCTCCTGGACCACCAGCTCGTGGAAGTAATCAAATTCCTCCAAGGAAATGGGGGGGCATGATGGCGAAAACAAGGGAGAAAAGGGTACAGGGCGACGAAAACGGGGGGGGGTGAAGATGAGGAGATAGAAAAACAAATGATGGACAAGAGGGGTACATGACGAGAGAGAGAGGGATACATATATATATGTACACAGAGAAACGGATTGATCACTATACTTATATGTATAACAAAAGAGAGAGAGACAGACAGAGAGAGAGGAACGAAGGAAAGAAAGAGAAATACAGTGAGGGAAACATGGAGGGAGAGAGAGAGAGAGAGGGAGAGAGAAAGAACAACAGAGAGAAAGAGGGATATGCATAAAGAGAGAGAGAGAGAGAGAGAGAGAGAGAGATACATATATATATATATATATACAAGGTGGCCTCCCAGATGACTCGAGTCGGCGACTCGAGGCCAGACGTGAGATTAAAGGCGAAGCCCAGCGATATCACTATTTTCCAGCCGATTGTTGCCACACAACAAACTTCACAACAGGACAAAGCACGAGCGAGCTGGAACCGTTGCTGCACACACTGAAACAAGATGACTGAACCGGCAGATCATTCTGAGCAGAGAGGCAGCAAAAAAGTCCAGCCGGCTGGATCGTGCACAAAGCCCCCCAAGGGTGGGAGGGATTGGGAAGACTTGAGCCAAAGCGCCCACGACGGTGAAGGGCGCTAGGCAAACATTCAAAACTCACGGGAGGCCGATGAGCGACAGCACTACAGACGTTGAGAACAGTGTAATAGCACTGCGTTGTACAAGGTGGCCTCCCAGATGACTCGAGTCGGCGACTCGAGGCCAGACGTGAGATTAAAGGCGAAGCCCAGCGATATCACTATTTTCCAGCCGATTGTTGCCACACAACAAACTTCACAACAGGACAAAGCACGAGCGAGCTGGAACCGTTGCTGCACACACTGAAACAAGATGACTGAACCGGCAGATCATTCTGAGCAGAGAGGCAGAAAAAAAGTCCAGCCGGCTGGATCGTGCACAAAGCCCCATATCCCATATGTGGTTCTAGGGTCAGGGAGGGCGGGTATTCAGGATGCGAGCAAGCGAAAGGTCGAGCAGGGATGGGAGAGCAGCAGCCGCGCGGTTGCCATTGCGCTGCTGCTGCGCTGACATCCTATTCACCTGGCGAAGTAGCTTGCCTTCTTTTCCGTAGCGGGCGACAGACCGATCCGAGAGCCAGTGCCCTCGCCGCTTTATGAGCTCAAGACTGCCTCGCTTCTCCAAAAAATCTACCGACGGGCCGCCATGGCGAACGGTGTGTGGACACAGGCGGAGAGACTGTAACGACAGCGCCTGAGAACCACGACGAAAAAGAGCCTCGTACGTCGGCAAATCCAGACCTGCAAAAAGCGAGCTTAGCTTCAGCCGCTTAGCTCGGGCGATGAGACGTTCTAGCACGGTCCTGATCCAGGCACGCTCCGGGCTCATCCCACCCACGATCACTGTGTCATCGTACTGCTGGTTTTTGGCTGGTTTGCGCCCTAAACCGCTAGGCGCCATGATGACGGCGAGCTGGTTGTAGCGGCGGTTGGCGGCACTGGAGCCCGAGACGATGTGGTCCAGCGTCAGGGACAGCGTAGCGGAGGGCCGCCCGTAGACGTCGAACTGCACCACGGCGCACGCAGCGGCCAGGACGCCAGCGAGGTCCCCGAGCCCGATGAACCAGGTGGCCAGCAGCGCGAGCGCCTCCCACGGGCAGGGATCGCGACTGGACTCGGGTGCACGCTTAAGCCAGCCAGCGAGCGCCTTCACGGCGTGCGGGAAGGTGTCCTTGGGCCGCGGGAACCGGTGGACGTGTGCAAACCCGTACAGGGCCTGCCGCCCCTCCCACGGCTCGCATCCATCCAGGTAAAGGTAATCGAAGTACGCCGAAAGCGAGAGGTCGACAGCGGCTGGGGAGGCTGGGTCGGCGCAGCGATTGGCCTCGGAGGCCCACTCCACGAAAGAGGCCTCCGAGAGACGATACTGCCTTGCCACTGCCGCTGACACGGTGGACCGCTCCAGGTAGCCGTCGCCTGGGGTTTCACCCGCGACTCGACGCCTGGCAGCCCTGCGCAGTGCACGCCGCCGCTCCACACCCACACGAGACGCTTCGAGGGCGGTCTCGACCTCGTCGCGGCCCGATCCAGCGGCGCTCGCCGCCCCAGGTGCTGGCGGCACGGCCCCACGGCGACTGGAAGGCGCGCGGGCAGCGTGGGATCCACGGCTCGGCGGGGAGCGGCTTCTTGGTGGCTCCTGCCATGAGAGACTCCCACCACTCCAGATCAGAGGCATGTAGGGCACTGGCTGGCGCGATCCTCCTCAAAATTTGAGCATAGGCCCTGCATAGACGGGGAGGGTACAGCCCAGCCAACGTGGTCTTCCAGGCCCAAGTCGACTTCCCATTGACGGCGATCTTTACTTTCCCAGACAAGTGTTCATGATAATGATTTCCAGGACACAACCGACTTAACTGTTTCATTTCGGGGATGTTGGTAGCGATACAGGTCGGCTTCATGTAGTTAGCTCCATAGGCGCAGTTATCATATCGAACGAAGTGGGCTCCAGCACGATCGAGCTCACGACGAATAGGCTCCCAACGAAACAATCCCGACGATCTCGGATTTTCGAGTGTGAACAGCACCCCGTGTTGACGACACAGCCTGAGAAGGGCTCTAGTAAAGGTGGCGAACGACGTACCCCAGTTGGTCGACGAAGTCCCAGTACGACGAGCCACACTCCAGACGGTGCAAGGGGTAGCAAGATGGAGGGCCCAGACTCTTCCACGACGGATCTGGTTTTTCAAGAGACGCTGAAGCCGTCGATCTCCCAGATCATGATGAGGGCCTCGACGGATCTCGATGGGCATCCCGATTCCCAGACCCTCGTCGCTCACAGCAGCCGAAAGTGTAGCATGCCCAGCAAACACTTCGAGGAAGACGGGCTGAGATCGACGACGAGCAGATGCAACATGGCTGGCTTCCTTTTCGGGACTGGAACTGGCACGCTCTCCACTGGCGGGCGACAGGCGGGGCCCACACCGCCCCAGCCGGCGGCTGGTGATGGGCGGGGCGGCCACGGCGCGCACTCGGCGGCTCGGCGCTGCCCGAGCTGGCGCCACCGCGGAGCCGCGGCCACTGCGCAAAAGAGCTCGCCCAGCTCGTCCGAGCTGAGCCTCACCAGCGCCGACCTCTCCGCGGTCGGCAGCACGCGAATCCTCGTCAGTGGGGTTCCTCTTGGTCTCCAGGTAGCGTTGGGTCCAAATCAGGCCACACGCAATTGTCAAAGCCCCGGCCCTCTGACAGAGACGATGGAGGCAGTGCGACTTCGCCCTGCCCTTCTCGAAGCTGCAGATGCAGGCCAGGTTGTCGCCAATGCTGAGCAGCCGACATCCGTGGAATCGAACCTCACGACTGGCTCGGACAAGGCCCATCAGCATCACGCGGCCCTCCTTCTCGTGGATCGCGGTGTCGTACCTCCAGCCTCCACGCACCACACGTCGCCACCGCGCCGGGTCCACCAGCGCGTCAGGCAGCGGCGGGATGCCGACCACCGAAGCGGGGCGCTCGATCTCGTCAAGCTGACGCCAGGGTCGGCGCCATCCCTGGGAGGCGCCGTCTCCTGACTCCAGGTGCCCCAGCTGCGGGCATGCGCCAGTCCCGTGTTGAGCACGCCAGGCGGCGGCCCAGGGCAACGCAGGCCCCCAGCCCGCGGACTCCCGCTCGACAAGGTCGAAACGCCAGCGCTCACGGTAGGCGGCCACCTCGCGGTACTCGGCGTCGGAGATCTCTGCGACGTGCAGCGCGTAGCCCTTGGAGGAGGCATCCCCGCAGAAGGCCACGGGCGCTGGCTCCGAGCCCAGGTCGACGCCGGCCATGAAGACCAGCCAGCCCGCGACCTCGAGCTCCCAGCGAACCGAGTCCCAGAGCTCCGCCTCGTCGTCGTAGTGCTCCCCGATGAAGGCCCAGACCTTGTCGAGACTCGCGAGGGCGGCCCTGACCAGCTGGAAATGGTGAACGAGGTGACCTACGAGGATCTGGACCACCCGGCCGCTGGCGAAGCCCCTCCTGGTCACCTCCTGCAAGGCTAGGTGGAGCCGCCAGGTGCGTCGCGGTAGAGGCCGGATCTGTCGTCGGACGCCATCGAACACGACCCCCAGTAGTTGGAGCTCTGGCGAGGCTACGTTTTCCTCATGGAAGTCGAGGGCCTTCGCGTCGAAGTCCCGCTTCACGTGCTCTAGGGCCCGCTGCGTCGACTCGGCGGTGATCCCGATGACGTTGGCGTTGTCGACGTAGGGGAGCCGGACGGCCAGGCTGGGTGTCGGCGTCGGTGCCGCGTGCCTGTCCTCGACGACCACGCTGCTGTCACCGCCAGCGGCGGAGGTGGTGGCGTGGCAGAAGTACAGGGCCCAGCTCCAGCCCATGGCCATCCCCTCGAAGACAGGGAAGACGGGGGTGTCCGCGGAGACGCCCAGGTATGAGCCCGTCGCCTCACAGTAGACCTCAGAGATCCCCCAGTAGTCGGCCCTGGCCGCGAAGTCGATCCCGAACAGCGAGCCCATGCGACGGTTCCGAAACTGGTAGAACCCGTTGTACAGGTCGACGCTGCCCGCGGACGGCTGCACCCAACTGAGGTCGCCATCATCCTGACTTGCGGCCCTGATCGCTGAGTCCGAGAGGTCAACCCCCGTCAGCGCGGTCACTGTGCCAAGCCAAGAGTGGGGAGGGCGTCGACACAACCTGTTAGGCTCCCGTGCGTCCACGATCAGCCGCTGGAGACCATCTTTTTTCTTGACCACGAAGATACCGATGCGTGCCCGAATTGAGGTGCGGAACCCGACGAGCCCCAACTCCGCGAGCCGAAGGATGAGACGCCGCCGCTCCGAGGTGTCGAAGCGCAGCTTCGGGTCCCAGTACGGCGCGAAGGCTCCAGAGTCGTACTCGAGCTCGGACGAGTCCCTCAAAATCTTGCCCTCTGGGTCTGCCAACATAGCCCGCT